ACTTAACAATCTTCACAATCCCGTAATGCAAATTACCTGTGCTCACTAGTGACTAGCTTCTTCGTGAGGAATCTTCTCCGAGTTCTAGTGGGAAGACGTGACCACTGTGAAGTTCAACCTGTTCGGGTGTAGACAGTAACTACCGAAGACTGTGTATGAGGTTGCGCAACTCCGTGAATTTGATCAAGTTAGACATTAACATCGTTAGATACCGGCTCAGTGGTCTATCGGTTATGGCGTTCGCGCCCAATACCGAAGGTCCTGGGTTCGAATCCTGCGAGATGTAAGAGTCGTGGATGCGCACTGCTGAGGAGTCCCATACCAGGACGAAACGGCCGTCCAGTGCTTCCAGGTTTCTAATGGTGGTCTAACATTGATCGGTTCATGGTTTCAAAAATGTGTAATAGAATAAAAGTTTTTTTTAAAAAAACTAGTTAATAAATTATTTCTATATTACACGATTCAAGCAATTACTAATAATCTGAGTGTAGTTTTAGCCTGCTTCTCTTTAAACAATGCAATACATTCACACTGACAGAAGTTCGGTATTTTCCATGGATAAATTTGTCAACTAGTTTGTATAAGTAAGAGTTTCACAACTACCCCTAGTACTGTTCATGCTATCATGATTCAACCATCATAGAACGACGCCATCTTTCCACATAATTTATGTAAAATTGCCGTGTGACAACACTAGTAAGAATTCGAAATAAATAATCTCAAAACTCTAAAAAATATTCTCTTAGCATATAAAAATTGAAATAAATATACTATGAAAAACTAGTGTAGATTTCGCCTACAAGAACACTTGTATTTCGAAATTAGATACCAGAAAACAATTAGTCATGCTATAGTCGTTACATTAGTTTGCATTAGATAAGCTGCTGTCACCTTAATGGATCGCACAATTTACTGGCAAAGAATTTTATTAGAGTATCACTACAAACATCCCAATCTACAGTATTTAGTAAGGCAACTGTCTGCTGATTCCGATACTACATTTATAATCAGTTTCCACATAGTAAACATACTTGAGGTAGGATAAAACCATAGGTAATAAAGCCAATGGAAAACAGTCAATGCTGGAGAAAAGAAGGCGGTACAACCTGTTCAATATAGCTTAATGAAGATTGATTACTTCCACATGGTGTTCAGTACGGATATACCACTATTAGACTACTAGCATGACTCAAGAGTATGAACAGAAAATAGACACTGAACTTAGAACTTTCAGGTTTCGAAACCGAGACCCGTGCAATTTAAATATGTCTGCAATTAAATCCATCCTCAATGGTAATGGATAACTGTCCGACTGTTTCGTGCATTAACTGAAGTTGAGAATGTTAAGCGGTTACTGTGAGGCATAAAGAACCTGGATTTAATCCCTAGCGATGCAGTAGATATGAATCACTGAAAGGCACATTCAGTAGCATCCTAAAACTGAAGTTAAGATGTAACCAATACCACTAGAAAATCAAACAAATCATCACAACACCTCGCCACCAGAATATCAATTATAAATGGGATTTAGTTTACTAAACAAATGTCACAAACATCAATTGATGAAGTTATGTGTTAAGCACTCTACAATACTACAATATAATACAATAATTAGTATATCAATAAAGTCAAAACTCAAGTATCCTAATGTAAATCATTGATGAAAGTAAGAAATTATTTGACTATACACTTTCTTAGTCACTCCATAAATAATAATAATTATTATAATTATTGAAATAAATAGGTTAAAACCATTATGTTTAAAAGGTTAAAAATGTGTTTTTTTCTCTTACTAATCATAATTATACTAAAAATAATAATAATAATAATATTATTATTATTATTAAATAATTAAAATTAATCATTATCATCATTTCGTAATGTGAATAAAGGAGTTGAATTTCTTTGCACAAAAGAGGAAAAAAAAGTTCACTACATATACATAGATTTACCACTTTTATTTTTATTTATTTTATACACATCAAGAGAAAAAAAAGGTAGAAAAAAAAATAATCAAATTGGTTGGAAAAATAATAATAATAATAATCGTAATAATCATAATTATAATACTAATTTTATAATTCATATTTAATCACATAATGCTTACAACACAAATTGTGTGTGTGTGTGTGTGCCTTGTCATACATACACAATCAGATCAACAATCATTCTATTAATTTGTTTTTTTTCCACCAAATAAAAACAACAAATTATTGGTCAGTAAAATTGCTTTTGAATACTTTACTTTGAAATATCTCTATTAGTAGTAGATACATGGTTTTTTTCAAAAAAAAAAACAAAGATTATTGTATAACAGAACAGAACAGATAAAGAGAAGTATACATAATGTTGTGGTCGATTCGGAAGTGTACCGATTCACAACGACACTTTGTTAATGGTGTATTAGTAATTTTTCCAAAAATCAAATAGGAAAAAAAACACAACAACATGGCAAAAGATGAAGAAAATCAAAATGACCTAAATTAGAGATACACTTTATGGGCAGTGCATAGTTATGTATTTTGAAAAAAAAAATAATGTATTCAAGATTTTGGAATAGGATAAAATATTAATGCTGATAATTTCAGTCAGTCAGTTGCAACGTAGAACTTCGTACGTATGTACATAAGTTCATGTTGCCATACCACTACATTAGCACAAAGACGCGAATGTCGAATCAAATCCCATAGTGATTAAGATAGTAGAGGTATTAATGTTAATAAAGAAGATTAGGGTTTGAAGATATTATTCAAGAAGTATGATTCAGTGAGATAAGGTTAGAAAGACAAAGATAAAGGTGCTGACGAATCCAGAAGATTAGGATTTGAGAGAGCTCAAAGAGTGGATGCACCTGCGCCATTGCAAACGATTTTGAGCCATGTCGTTCAAGGTCTCTAACCATTGATGACTTTCGTCTCGCAGACCCCGAACAGGTAGTCTACATCTACCAACATGACTCAGTCCACTAGTCAATGACTTCATGGATTTCTGCCATGTTTGGGTCTGGCCGCCCCTAACTTTCTTCCAACCTACTCCTACACCACAAAACATAATGCTAACAATTTGGTAAAATCAACTAGGAGAAATTGTTCTTTCACCTGATAATGTTCAGCATGTTTATAACATGTTTCGAAAAATTTTTTCTACTCATTGCCATAGTATAAGTTGTGCTGTCCGCAAGATGAAAGTTACCAATGGTTAGAGACCTTGAACAACATGGCTCAGGTGCATCCACTCTTTTTGTTCTCTCTAATTCTAACCTTCTGAATTCCTCCTTCTAAATTTATCTCACTGAATTATACTTTTCGAATCATATCTTCGCTCCTTAATTTCCTCCATTGCTGCTAATAATTCTACTATCGCTATCACTCTTGGATTTGAACTGACAGTTACGTCTCTGTGCTGGCGTGGTATGGCAACCTGAAATGATGTACTTATGTACGAAGTTCTGCGTTGCATCCGTCTACGTGTCTGTGTGTTGTGCTGTTAGAAAACTGAAAGGGATGCTTAGTGCTTAAATCAAGTTGGTATATACATATGCACAATTCATCCAAAGAAGGTGGATATCATGAGTACATACAGGTTCTAGGATTTTAGATCAACCAAAAGCCTATACATCTGGCTTGATTACTTACTACTATGGGAGTGAGCCTGTGATAGCTTGCAGATGTGTTCTTATGTTTAACATCTATAAATAAAAATATGACTGAAACTGAAATTACTTTAATCATCTGAAAATTAACTGGCACTGGAAATATTCAGAACCCTGGACATTAAAATTTGCGATTCTCCGAAATCATTAAACATTAGAATATAATTGAATCGTTGTTAAAAATTTTATTACCGTTTTATATGAAATGAACATAAATAGACCTCAAAACTTAAACTGTTCTTAAAATATTACTATGATAAAATCAGTAGTATATTGGCCAATAAAATGTTGTATTGAAAAAAATCTATCAATTTTTACAAAAGATTTCAGATTTCTCAAACGGAAAAATAGGATAACAAATAATATATATTAAGAAGTCCACAAAATGTATCAGAAAATTAAAAAAAAATTACATACGTGAAAATCCTCGACGAACAAGCACTTGATAAGCTTCAAATCGTGCTTGTTTATTACTATCCGTTTTGAAAAGTTTCAACAAACCAACAGTTGGATTATTAGACATAGTAAAAGCGGCTAGTTCATTGGCATTTTCACATGGTTCAATATGTTGTTCATTCGGCAAAGATTTGGACACTAGAGATGGAACAGGAAGTCCTGCTGCTGCAGCTTTTAAACGAAGTTGTTGAATAGGATCTAATTTTTCATAAACTGAATCTAAAATCAAAATAAAACCAAAATAGGTTAACAATAAATTCGAACAGGACCGTATTATTGGTTTTTGACTGTAATCAACCAAATTGTATTTAACGAAAATTACAGAGTTACTCAGTAAAATAGGAAAACCATATCGTTAATTGTTCATTTGCAAAATATCAGTCCATGATTATATCGAACTGGACTGTTGTTCCTGTTGCCAAACATCAATCCATTGTCACTACTATTCATGCGTTCGTTTCATACAAATTCCATTGTTTTCTAACTCTTCCTCCTTTCTTGATCTTCCCCCATCTTCTGCTGCCACCAGACATTACGTTGACGCTCACGTCATATACTACTTATAAGTAGCTCACACCACAATATAAAGAGTACTAGCATTAAAATGTTTTCGCTTTTTTGTTCAGTATAAAGAAAGAAGACTAGAAATAAGACTACATATATATATATATATATATATATATATATACAAAGTTGCCAATATGAATGAAAAGCTGATAGAAATATAAGA